GGGAAAGGTTAAGCAAGTAGCGGATATATTCGTAAAAGTACTTCTCTGTAAGAAGCGTGTTTACTTCATATCACTACCTGATGTTTGCAATTTCGAATCGAGGGGGAGTGTTGAAAAAATGATTCAAAAATATGAAATTCATAAATTGTCGAATACAAGTGAAATTATAAATTAGCTGTTATAAAAAATTAAAGGAAAATAATAGAAAATTAAATCGCGATAAATGGACAGTTTAATAGCGATAAATAGACGGGTCTATCACTGCCTATATATAGATTGTGGATCGATACGTATTCTTCATCCCCTTTTGATTGAATAAAAACCTTTTATGTTTTCTCTTCCAACAATTTCACCTGTGCAATAAGCCATATGGGGAAGGTGATCGATTTGCGCTTTAGACATACACAAGAATGACTTAAGTGGATTACAAAATTTAGAAATGTTAGATTTTTAGTCTTCACTTAATATTCCTCTACATGATTTTGGACGGACATTAAAATGCATCTTCCTGGAGCAATAACTTCTCCCCATCTCACACCACCATTCACTCCACCACCCTCTGCTCTTCCATGAGATCTTATGGTAGCAAAAACTTTTTTTAAATTGGAGGATTGAGAAACAGAGCAGATACATGTGGATATATACACATATACAAAGAGAGGCGGGAGGGTTTCAAAATATGGAGGAAGTAGGGAATTATAGGTTGTAGACAGAGTAGCTTTTCTGATGATTTTATAGGGAGGATTCTCTGGATTCTGAATTCCTACCGGAGAGTAAAGTAAACAGAGGACTTCACAGTGTCTGAAAGTGCTAGAGTCAGAAGCTGCAGAATCTAGAGAGATGAAGATTTAGCGGAACATGTTGGAGGCAGCAGAGGCAAGCATGCTGTGCTGTGAAGATGATGTGGTTCTCTGCTGGATATGCAATGAGAAGGTACATGCTGGCAACAACCTCGCTAGCAAGCACCAGCGAGTTCTTCTCACCAGTTTTTCCTCACAGATGCCAAAATGTGACATTTGTTAGGTACATAATTTTACCTGTTATTCTTTCTTATGATAATTATGCAGTCTATCCATGATTTTTGCCTTCATTTACATATGGTGAAGGCCAGAGAGAGAGAGAGAGAGAGAGAGTAGTGGGTTGCAGTCGAGAGAATGGTGGTTAGGGATAGGGAGAGGGTAGTGGGAGAAGAAGAGAAGAGAGAGGGAGAGAGATAGGTTGAGGACGGCTTTGGCGCATAATGATTTATTTTTTAATTTTTTGTTATATCAAAATAATTAAAAATTAAAATATTTTTTACACGTCAGATGTCATGTGACATGTAACGTAAAAATTTATTTATATAGAAATAGTTACGTATACAATTTATTGTCACGTGGTAAATCCACTAATATTGTTAGTGACATTTTATAGACCGGGATTGATTCACATTTTTTTGAAAGTACGAAGACAAAGAGTAAAAAATTATACAGGGATCATTCGAATATTAAAAATAGTATAGGACTAATTTAATATTTAGGCCTATACTATTAAGATATGCGTAAATAATTATTCTAAAAAATTAAGATATTTATTATCTTGATCTAAATGTATGTACTCCTTGAGAAAGAATCCGACAGTCTCCTAGAGTTAAAGTACTTAAGTTTTTGATAAATTTTCTATATAGAAACTAAACTTTCACAAAGACAGCAGCAGATTTTTAGATATGTAGAGGGAGTAGTTATTTAGGAGTTAATTTCTGAACTGCCTACTACATCTGCTTCCCCCTGTTTTCTCTCCTACTAACCTCCTATATTACAAACTGAAAACTGAAACCAACAACCAATGAAAATACAAATAAAAATAATCCACAGTCACATAAATGTATCTATTAATTACATAGTTAATTTATAAATACATATTTATACTATTAAGATATTTATAATTAATTATTCTAAAAAATTAAGACATGTATTATCTCATAACACTTGTCTTAGGCCATTAAAAAATCTACTTCCAGAAATAAAATATTCTTCCTCAGTCTCAGATCTAAGGATAAGCTCGTTAAAACATGATTTGTAATATGGGACAATAGAGGAGATTTGCCTAAGATTTAAAAAGTTCTCAATCATTTGATCTATTGATAAGTTGGTGAGATACTTTTCTTTCAACTCTTGTATCATCATTACCCCATGATTTATGAGAGTTTCACTCAATTGCTCTTGATTTTGCAAGATCCTTTGTAAATACTTCTTAGCAAGTCCAATGAGTTTTAACAAAACAAAGTTGTTCAATGTTATTTATCTCATAACAGTCGAAATACCCTCCATACTTTCAATGCCAATCTTGGATCTAATCTTTGATCAAAATTTGATACCCTAGTTTTGACTTTTTTTTCGGTGATATTGGAGGAATTATCTTGATTATTTGGAGGGATAGGGGGAAATTGTGATTCACATATTATCCCAACCTTAATTTCTACCTAGAGGTCTAAGTAGTTTACCATCATGTCTAACAAGTGGATCATGGACCAAAGTTTCTTGCCTAGATGGAGGTCTTCGGTTTTCATGATTGACTATGGGATCATCCTTAAGTTGATTCTCATTATAGAAGTGTTGAAATGTAATTTTAAATTAGGACCTCTAGTAGAGGGAAATCCTGCTGGTTGTTAAGAAGCTTTACTAGCCCTAAAAGGTGTATCAAAAGGGTCAAGAGTGTATAAGATCCCATTAGTTGGTCCTGGAGAATTACATGAAGGAGTGAGTTGCATGACAAAGGAATCTCCTTTTACTACATGTTATTTTTCCCATAATGTTCATGATTGAGCAAATTTCTCGAATAGTTGTTCTGCAAGTTCTTTAAAATGTTCAATGCAAGGGGGAACAAGTTGGTAACTTGTCGTTTGCCACCTCCTTTGGCCATGATGAGAGGGCATAAGTTGGCAACTTGTGGGTGCTATCTCATATGGTTACTATCTTTGGACTCAAGAGAGGGTACAAGAAATCCTTCTACCATAATTTTTTTTGGTTGATTTTGGAAAAAAAATATTAATTTTATTTCTCACTCTTTAGGTGTTACATTTGAGATATTTATAGAATTGTTAACATATTGATAAGAAAATTACTATTTACTATAATTCTAATTACATGAGATTATTATTCTAGTAGAATTTTAAATACATCATCATAACAATTTAAATAATAAATTAATAAACTAATAAAAAATAATTAAATAATAAAATATGTTAGTCAACATCCCCTTTCAAGTTAGTGAAGGAATATTACACATGACCAACTTGCAGATTAAGTCATCTTGCAGTCTACCAGAGGCGTACGCACGCGGAGGAATCGGAAAAAGGACTATAAAAGCTGGTCGGAACGGCTCGTGCGCGAAGCAGATTTGTACCAAA